TTACAATTAGCAATGTCATTTAACAAAATTAATATGATTTAATTTTTACCTAGTTTCATTAGATAATAAGCATTTTAGTTTTATCATATCATATATTACTATAAGCATGAACAAAAAAAGTTGAAAGTTGAATTACCATTTTATCCCTATACTAAATTAAAATATTATAAAATATCTAATTAATTAAATATTAAATATGCCTAAATTGCTAAAGTTGATTCACTTTTTTGTTAAAATAAAGTTAGGAGAATGAGGAGTTGTAAAAATAATTAATTATAAAGTTACGAAAAACTATTAGAGAAACTTTTCGTTTCTCCATCTGATCAGTTTTAGGTGTAATTTTTATCATAATGTGTATTAATACCACACCTCCACTATCTCATCATTAATCTTCACACCTTCATAATCTTCCCACACTCTCAAGAAATTAATGGCATGATTATGATACCTTTTGATTTTTACTCTATGATGTCCTATTAAATTGTTGGTTATTTGTACACAACAATCTATACACTTTGAAGAGACTTAGGTACACTTTGGAAGAAATAAAAAAAAAATTGTCTATATTTATATTGTTTTTATCCTTTAGTATTAATATCACTTTTAGCTTCATCAGTTCATAACACTGATCACTAATTCTCCTTATATTCGTTGTTAGTTTACAGAAAGGAAATGTGTACAAATTGTTAGATCTTCTAATGGAGTTTACAATGAGAGAAGGGAGGTTGAAATATTCCCGGAGGTTGAAATCAATCTTTAAAAGAACAAGTTGGATTTTAAGCAACTTTATTGATAACCATGATCATTTTCATGTTCTATGAAATTACATTATTCCTATATTTGTTATTTTCTTTTTTTTTATCTGATCTGATATTTCAAATCCTTGAATGAATTCTACTGTAACGGTTTATTGTAAATTTATTCATATAAAACTCTAAGTTGCAAATAAAAACATTTTAATTTTCGTATTTAAATTCATGCTTTAGATAAGTTATTTTTTATTTTTTATGTATAATTATTATTATTTTAAAATTTTTCCTTATTATCATATTAAATATCATATTTTTTCCTGTTGTTTTTAACACGCCATGAGATCAAAAGAGAATTATTAAGAAATTGCAATCGAAGTTTTGTAATTGAAGATGTTTTGATCTAATATATATACTCAACAGTTAACACAATATACCGCTAGGAGTGTAAATCACATATAGCCAACCGTTTGATGCAATGTTAAATTAATTTTGTTTAGCTTTGGTTGCATGTTATATTATTGTTGGTTTGGCAATTTTTCATTTTAAAGAAAATTATTAGCTTGTAGACTTCACAATTTATAATGTGTTTTAGTTTCTATTTGAGGAATCAATTATTGAATAGGCAGTGAGAAAATCGCCTTTCATGATTCAAGTAGTAAGCTCGAATTCATGATTGAGAAAGGAATTTTTCAAGTGCAATTTGAAATTTTCTACTATTCTTAACATCTCATTATAAAGTATTTTTTTAAATTATTTTATTTGATTAAATATAGTTCTTACAAAATATAACACGATAATCATGTTTCAATTTTAACATCTATCAATAGTTCAATACAAACTTTATAAAATAGAAATATAATTAAAAAGTAAACTAATCTAACAGTTTCTTAAAATTCATCCTTTAACTATAATTCTCCAAATTAAGAAATCTGCAACCTGATATGAGAGTTTTAAATAAATTTTACCTCTTTCAAGTATTAAATCGTCATGACATCATAAATATTGAAGGGGTGTCACTCATTAATAATTTTAATTTTTGTGAAGTGAAGAAGGGGGTGACAATTTAAAATAATGTGAAATTATCTTATATCTGAGCATAGAAGAAATCACATTTTAAATGTCTAAACCACTTATAAATTTGCTATAGATAAAGAAGAGTTTATTCTTATATGCACATGTATATCATTCATTAATATCAAATTTCTAACAATCCATCATTATATTGTGGGCCTTCAAAAGCAATAATCATTCTATTAAATACTAATATTATAATTTTGTGAAAGACAAAATTAAATATAATCATAATCGTAATAAATATTATATTAGATATAAATATATCATAATATTTGTTGCATCTATACCACATATTTGTTCTTAAAAATGCAAACAATAAACTCTCTAAATATTGTGCAAGCCTAAGTTAACTAACAAGTTAAATTTTTTAGGTTTACATAAACAACCTACCGATAACAACTCATGAAACACCTAGACTATTGTAAAAAATAATATATATATATATATAAAATATTTGAATGAATCAACATGGGACGCTGAGTCAACATGAATTAACATGGAACACACGTGCAACGCACGTGTCCAGAACTAGTTATTATATATACGCATGAACTGACCAAAATGGAAGAGTAAATACAGTAACAGTTACATATTTTTGTACTTTTCTTACTAATTAAGATTTTTTAAGAAAAAAAATATTTTGCTTTTTTTTGGAAATAATTCCTTATTTATTCTAGTGTTTAAAAAAAATTGAAGATTTTTTTTTTTTTAAAAAAAAAATCGAAGATATTATTTAGCTGGCATAAATGAGGTGGGTGAACATTGAATTAAACATGTGACGTTGTCGAGCTAAGGAAAAATGGAATTTTTGACAGAGTGCACTTGTGTTTTTATTTCTTAATTTCAACATTTTATTCATAAATTTAGGAATAATTTAAAGAGTGGTAATATTGTTATTATTTCCGATTAATATGATTCTCTTTTAACAATTTTAATTTAATCACAAAAAAAGGCTTACATAGAAATAACGCGTGAATTGTTGCAGTCGATGCCTTCCCATGGATCGTTACAAGGATCAGACCCATCCCAACTTGGAGGTATGTTTTCCCACTCTTCCTTCAGTGGCTCTAACACAACATCTGCACCAATCATTTTATTTTTGAACAAAAATACCATACACTAATTATTTTTAAAAAAATTCAGAACATACGGAATGAAATTGATGAAGAAAATCATATTTGACTTTTCTGATACAAAACAACGAAAAACAGTACTATGTTTAATAATTGAAATGACCTTTTAAGTAATGAACTCGAAAATGGGATCAAAACAAATTGGAGTCAAAATAGTGGACACTAATATATTCCCTAGTAAAAAAACCCGAAAAGAAATGAAAACAATTTGCTTTCATAACTCAGATCATTTAAAAAATAACTATTTACAATAAGTAACTTACGATATAACATGTTAAACTGTGCTAGGTACTAGTATAACTTTATTTTTTATTCGCGATATGGTGTATACAAGTTAAATTCATGATTATTAGAGTAAAAAAACAACAAAAGAGATGTGATAAGTAGGACTTACAGTCACCAGAATTTGTTGAAGCTCCCAGCTGCACCAAAACTTGCATAGAAATAATAAGCAGACAAAAGATGATCAGTTGGATTGTTCTTGTTTGGACCATTGTTTAAATCCACCACCATGCAACCTAAGTTTCTTCTTATGGGCCAATATGTGTACTAAAATGAAGAGAGAAAAAAAAGACTAATGGGAAGAAAGAGAAACCACAAGTGTTTGGTTTGTTTTGAGGATTAAACTGTTCTCTAAACAGCAAAAGGATAATATCTCTCTACGTATACGAGTCTTCTCTCTCCGTAAACTTGAGCAGTGTTTAATGTGAGGTATAAGATATGTAATAATTTTAGAAATAAAATGTAGGTCTACTTTTTACCGTGCGTTTGATTGAAGGCATTAGACAGTTCTGAGATTATTTATCTCACCATTTATATCTTAGTAATAAGATAAATTATTTCATATACGTAATAATGAAATAACTTATTCTGGAATTAATAATTATAAAATAACTTGTTCCCAATCAAACAACGTGATAGCTTAATCATTCTAAATACTACTGTTGTAGTAAGTAGTGAACATTCTAAGTCCACGAAAACAGAGACACCCTTGTAGGGGCTAAAAAACACAGTTCCCTCTATGTAAGGTTATGTTTCAACTTACATCATGCATTAATTGGACCCTAACTTGTACAGTACTCTTAGAATGATTTTGTCTCTTCTAAAGATGAAAAAATAGTCCATCCTAGTTTTTTTTTTTTAAGTATAAAAGTTTATCAGAGGTCATAGGCTCGAGTCCTCTTGAATATAGAATTACCTTAAATGGTATGTCAAGTCAAACATGAACCAGTAAAAATGAACGAAAAGAAAATATATATAAGATATTTTTATGTGCGGATTTTTATTTTTGGGTGAGCGGCCAAATATGTAAGTTCCCTATCATTTATTGTGACTTTAATATTGATTTTTCTATGATCATCCGAAGCAAGGGCCTGGGTCCATTGTGTTGACTAAGGTAGATATGTTGCTCTTAATGAGGTGGGTTCACTCACTACTCATATTGGTTGTCCAAAGAAAGGGAATTTGGCAACTTTTTTTTCATTAATGTTTATTGGTCAAAATTTTCGGAAATTATTTTTTCTAAAAAAGTAAGGTTTTGAAAATGGCTTCCTCAGTGGAAGTAGGAAAATAAGTGACATTCATATTGATTATGATTCCGGGTGTAGATTCAATAATGTTTACATATTTAAAATCTATACAAAAAGTATTACAAGTCAACATAACTAATAATTCAAAATGTTTTTAAAAAAATTCAGAAAATTGTGGTAAAATAAATTATTTGATTCTCCAAACAGTAACCCCTTCACATATAATGAGACAGATGCATAAAGTAGTAAATAATCTGTTATAACATGTTAAATTTTGGATCAGGTTATGGCAACCAGGCGTCAGGGAACAATTGAACCCCTATCCTTTAAAGCCATCAGACTTTCTGGATTCTTTTTATATAGTAAATATTGTTGGGATTTCAAAAACTTCTAAAGGTGTGATCCCCCGTTCCATCAGCTACTTTTCTTGCTTTGATTCCTAATAGTTTGATCTAGGACTACCTCTATTTAAATCTAGGATAGAGTTACGACGCGATATGCCAACAACTTACTACTTGGAAATTGTGGGTTCCGTCGAGCTTCTCATAGAAATACAAAAACGTATCACCCACTTCCTACAATCTGGCTTGAACCTTTGGGTAGACTCTGGAAGATCAACATAGCTGCACGGAATTCAGTAGAATTCCTCGGTACGGTTGCTAGGATGAAGGAAAGGAATGTAACCATTGTAACAACTTCCATGAATTTGGTTGGTCCATTCAACAGCTTCATTGCATTCAGGGGATTAATATCAATGCACGTTGGCGTCTCCCAGAGGCTTCCTTTCTTCAAGAATACTCTGGATATCCTGCACTCTATTCGTATCTTGAACAATTGGATTCTGGATACCATGCTTGAGTTCACTCAATATGACATATACAGAGCTCTGAGGCCTGGAGGACTCTTCTGCCTGGAATCACAGTTAAATGTAGCTTATCTTCCTATGCTAGAGCTTGATCGAGGGATCGATAAGAATGTGTGGTATTTCTCTGCTTTGTTGGAGAAACCAATGTCCTGAACTACTTAGTTACTGAATCTTCAGACTGTTCCTAAAATGATGGCAATTTTACTTCTAATTCAAGTACAAGTGACCAACCCTATACTGACTATTTTCCCTTCTTTTCTTGTTTTGTTTTGTGCTTTTTTGTAATCCAATTGAAAAAATACAAGATGAGAAAATTATGCTTCACTATAGACAAAGAGACTTTCAGTATAAGGATGGTTCAAGCCTTTGTTTTCTCCTTCATAGGTTGCTGAAGTAGATGCATAGTCTGCATAGGGGTTCAGTCTTTCAATCTCCATAATATTTTCAATCTGTTTCACCACTTCACTCATTTTTGGGCGATTGACTCCTCCTTCTTCAACACACTTGAGTGCTAAAACCACAAATTCCTCTAAGCTTCTAGGAGTTGCACCCGAACGAACTACAGGATCCAAAGTTTCATGAAGGTTATACAAATCTTTTGTCATGTCCATCGCATCCTTCACTTCCTTGACAATATATCTTCCTTTATCAATAGGAACTTTTCCTGTGACTATCTCAAGCAGCACCACTCCAAAGCTAAAAACATCACTCTTCTCTGTCAACTGGTTTGTCATGTAATATTCAGGATCCATGTATCCCTAATAAATAAAAGGCAACCATCAAAAGGACATAGATTATGAGGTAAATACTGACACATTTTTCTGCAACATCTCAACTTGTTTCCTTTTATACATGGCAAGATCACATTATATGAACGTTAAAAAGCTTCTATCTGCTTGTAGCTTCTATATGGGCGATAACTCAATTGTTTCCTAATTAAGGTAGTATTTCTCCTTGAATTTGGTGTTTTGAAGCATCATTACCTACAAGTCCCTTACCTTGAGAGAATATGCAAAAAATAAATAAAACGTTTTTGTACTTTCCTGTTCCTACTTATTTATTTACTCATTTTTGGTGGAGGGAAGGGTGGTCGATGAGAAAGGAGGAGCTTCAGATGTTCTTACTAGACAATGAAATAGTGCTTGTAATGGTTATTACAGGACTAGAAATTATGGACACATTAAATTTCTGAACTTTCTGGACATCAGAAATTTGAGGGATACAAGCATACAATATTCTAAAACGAAACAAATTCAGGCAGGCGTTTATAGAATCTTTACTCACCATTGTTCCTTTGACTTGAGTGGTAATGTGACCCTTTTCACCTAGAAACCTGGACAGGCCAAAATCAGCAACTTTTGCGTTTAGGTTAGCATCCAGTAAAATATTGTTGGACTTGATGTCCCTGTGTATGATGGGGGGACTGACAAGGTCATGCAAATACTGCAAACCTCTGGCTGCTCCAATGGCTATATTCAGTCTCCTCATCCAATCTAACCTGATCCCAGTCTTACCTACAAGTACAAATTTCATTACATTTCCATTTTGGTGAGTTAGTTTCAATGAATCAATATATACCTGAAAGACCGTCTTTTAAGGTGCCATTAGGAATATACTCGTACACCAGCATCTGTTCAGCTCGATCGAAACAAAAGCCAGCAAGGCCAACAACATTCTTGTGATGAATCCTTGAGAGAAGCTCTATCTCAGATTTGAACTCACGTGCACCCTGCGCAGACCCTTGTAGAGCTCTTTTAATTGCAACTAATTCTCCATTCGGAAGAGTTCCTCTGTAAACCTGTAGAGACACACTTGTACAGTTTAAAAACTCATTACAGTTTCAATTGTTTCTTTCAAAGCTGGTTCAAACAAACTTCTTGATATACTGATATGATGATGGTGGAGACTATGGGTTCAATAAAAACTAACCTTTCCATAACCACCACAACCAATATCGTTGGTTTCTGAAAAATTATTGGTCCATTTTTTGAGCTCCTCAAATGAGAAAAATCTAGCTCCTGTCAGCTGTGGAACAGCACCACTATGTTTATTTGAGTCCCATGATGCTACATTAAGAAGAAAGATAGGAACAATCACCGTAAGATGAAGTAGTAATAGGTAAATGGTCTAATAGATAGTTCCAACTCTTACCAAAAGGATCGATCCTCTTTGCAGCATCTTCAGCTCTTTTCTTTTGCCGGAAAGCATAAATACCAATGATTAGTGCTAAAATTGCAAGGACAGAACCACCAACTGTGGCTCCAATGATAATGCCTGTACTACTTGATTTTTTTGATCCGCTGGATGTCTCTGGAAAACAGCATACACAGACTCAGACTTCATAAATATACTAGTCTTGGCTCACGACGTGTACCCTATCAATTAATATTGAGTTTGTATAAAATATATAAATGAGACATAAAGTAAAAGAAATATACTCGTAAACTTAAAACAATGAAGGGTGATATGTATACTCTAAATTTTGTGAAGTAATTTTATCCTATTATCAAATATAGATAATTACTGGTCACTTGTATTTGCATGACTTTTCATTTTGTCATTTTAATTGTTACCATAAAAGTGAGATTAAACCTTATTATTTTAATTGTTACCATAAAAGTGGCATTACTACGATGACTTTCTGAAAGTCTACGTCTCTACAATCCTATAATATGCGTTGACAGTAATAAATACCTTTCTTAAAGGATGAAAAAGTCTGTAATTGAAATCTCAAGGTAAAAAATAGAAAAGTATCACATATTGTATAAATTTGAGCAATACCCTCGAGAATACATTTCAAAATTACCACAAAACTCATCAAAATATAGACATAAAAAAAAACATTCAAGGGTACAACATATTAACAAGACCACACAAAAATAAAATAATAACCGCAAAAACCTTTTCTAGTCTAGATAGAAAGCACACTGAGGCTAAGCAAATCAAATAACATAAAACTAACAAAAAAGATGATACTCAAAGAATACATCAAAATCACTAAACATTAAGAAAGAAGAATCAAAAGCACATAGCACTAAAAAAAACCACACAAAAGGCAACTTTTGGTCTTTCCTCTTCATTGTAACTGTTTCCCAAAGAATTTGAACCATTGTATCTAGATACATGAATTTAAATAAAATTATTATTTAATATTGAATTTAGTTTAGAGATAAAATAAGAACAGAATGGTAATTCAACTTTTAAGTTAGGAACTTCCTACTTATATACTGTTTCTAACTTTGTGTAATATGTAGGAGATGAGAAATGAGTGACAATAAGGAGAAGGAAATATTTCTATTACCAGCGAGGTATTTATAGCCATCACTACTGAAGACATAAAGTCCAAAGGAAGACGGGGGCGTGAAAATCTGCCTACTAAGCACAAAACCTATTCCGGCAACTCCAGTTGCATTGAAAGACTCTTGGCTAGAAGGAAAAACTTGCAGATGTATTACAAGGTAGTCGTCATCTGAATCTATTGTTGGGTTATGGAGGGAAACTGATTCCACGGGCAGTTGACGTTCTTGGAAGAAAAGCATCAAAGACTTTTCAAGAGTCTCATAAGTAGCTATATTTCCCAAGTTTAAAAAGGAAGGAGCTCTGAAGATTAGGTCGCCTACATATGGAAAAGCACATTTACAGGCACGACTAGAAACTTGATTAGATCTGCACTCAATTGTCAAGCAATTCTGTAGTGAGGTTGAATCTGTCCCTGTTTGTTGAGTTTCGATACAGTATGTTTCTGTCCCTTCTCCGCTTTTGTTGCAGAAAGGATTGCCTTTAAGCCTGCATTGGAAAAAGTAAGAAATGAATTAATGAAAAATATGTAGTCAAGTTTAGCATAGAATAATCATATGTCACTATAAGCTAGGCCAAAGAACTGATGGTGTTTCTTGTCAACTTGGAGGTTCTATGGCTCATGAAATAGAGCTTACATTATCTCAAAGGGATACCCTGGTTTTTGAGTAAATGATTCGATAAGATTATTTTGCACATCAATGAGCTGCAACTGGTTGCTATGTGCCGATTCAATTTCAAGTGAACCGTTGAGTTTGTTATTCCTCAAGATGCTGAAAGCAATGAGCACATTGTCAACGAATATCAGCATTATACAGAGTTAGGAAATTTCAGTTAAGATAAAATTCAACTTCAGATACTCAATCTATAGTTTATACAAAAACAACACAAAGTAAAAGGGACACTTACACTGTCTGCAACTGGTGTAGGCTGAAAAGGCTAGCTGGAACTGATCCCTGAAGCCCTGTCTTTTCCATTACCCTGTCATTCATAAGGTTAAAAAGAATTTCTAGGAATTGAATCCATAACAATGAGGAAAAAAATGGAAATCTGTCCATATTCAAATGGATGCAGGAATATACACATGCACTTGTGAACCTGCTCATGGTCACGCATACACAAACACACATACAAAAAAAATGAGAGACAAAGCATAGTAGCGTACAATGTTGTTAATGATTGCAGGCTTGGGATCCATGAAGGAAAATCTGATGTATTAAATTCATTCCTGCTCATGTCCCTGAAAAAGTAAGTGCCCATGATTGGGGACAAATAGTTATAGTACTATGTTGAGCAATTCCTGTCAAGACGACTATTACAATACCAGAAACAATTTATAAGGCATAGAGAGCAAGAAATTTTACTAGATTATAAAGGGAAAGCACAAGATAACAATACTTACAGCATTTTCATCGTCTGGACAAATCCTAATGTATCCGGGATTACCCCGGTAAATTTGTTATTCTCAACTAGCCTACAAGTTAGAATATACAAGCATGAGGAAACTGTAAAGCATGATCAAAAGGAAAGTTGTTTGTGATATAATTATCAAGCTTCTTTCACATGACTACTCTCAGAAGTAAAAACATGCACTAACAAGAATATCAAAAGGCAAGCTCAACTACAAGTGAGGTCTCCATTACGGACAAAATTATTCATTCACTCCATTCTCCAATTCGATGGAACTTACAGATGTGTCAGAGTCATATTAGAATGGAAAAGACGAGCTGGAATTTCACCGGATAGCTGATTCTTCCCAAAGTGACTGAAGAAATGTAAATAATCTTAGAAAATGCAGTTGAGAGACAAAACAACATCAAGAAAAAGGAGATGCGTACAAGCGTTCAGTATTAACAAGCAAATCAAGACCAGGGTTGCTCCCATTAGAGACTGGAATGTTTCCTTCTATCTGATTGTCAGATAAATCGAGCCAATGAAGCTCTGTCAGAAAGTTTCAATTTCTTAGTTATTACCTATAATAAGTTCAATTAAAATGTTTAATTCCTCTCATCTTCCATGAAATTAATATCATGCCTTTCATATACTCTATAGGATTCTATAAATTTGGACATAAAAAATTATACTATTCAATCGCATAGTCAAATGATCTATCAAACTCAAAGTAAAAATTATCTTATTAGTTCTATATTCACAACTTATGCAACTTCTACAAGCTTTTCATCGGCATGCATTCATCATCCATTTTCTACTTTTGGGTTTCAATTACTCCCTCCGTCCCATTTTATATGTCACATTTTTACTTTGCACTTGCGTTAAGAAATTATGTAACTTTACCCTTCTACCCTTATTTAATTTTTTTGGAACTCAAGTTTTCAATCAATGAATATGAATTAATTTATTTTGATTAATTAATTTAACCAATGAACATGAATCATTTACTTAACTTTTCTAAGTTGGTCAAATGTATGTTTTCAATGCTAATAATTCACAAGGGTAAAAAAGGAACAATATGCTAATTTATGCATTGATTTTATGAAATGACAAGTATTATGGACCAACTATTTATAGAAAGGGATAACATATAAAATGGGACGGAGGGAGTACAAAACAATATTGAGTTTTGGTTTAAGAATTATATTGCTTCATCGTGGGAATGTTGGAGGCAAAACACATTATGGTCCTTCTTTCGATTTTGATAATGTCTTTATTTGAGTATGAGGAACATGCCGAAAACAATTACATAATTTATGTTTAAATATTCTTAATTATTTTTTGATTTATATGATGAAACTTCTTGTAGGGTGGGTTGTATCATTATTTGTGTCTTTTTTTTTTACTAATGTTCCTTAGTTATCTTGCTCAAAAGATCCTTCTTTTTGTGTGTATATATATTTGCACTTTATTTATTGATTTTGTATTTTATGATAATTTTTTTGGGTTGCAATTATTTTCGTCTTTTAATAGAGTTTTAGTGATGATCTCTTATATAAAGTGAAAGGAAAATATTAGTCCACTTATAAATTTATTGGTCATTTTTTCCCTCATTAACAATGGTAAATATATATTTATTCTTTGTCTTTATTAATTTTGTTAGATATGTTTACGCCCATTTCTTAAATTTAGAGTAAGAGTTCATCACTACATCACATACTATATGCTATATTATCTTAAGTAGTTATATATTTTTCAACATTTTTTATTTTGCAAACAAATAATCAAAATTAAATGAAAAGAATTAATTGACACTATTATATTTGCATAGAACAACAAATACAAAAGAATAATGTGATTGATAATTATCAACGTTAGATTTGTGATGACCCGGAAGGTCATTTTTGGAAATTTTGAACTATTTGTTTAACTTAAGTTAATTAATCGATAGTTAGTGGGTTAAAGTGATCATTTATTAAAGAATCTATACCACTTGACCATGGGTTAAAATGAATTAAATTATTTGGGGTTTAATATTTGAGTCATAACTGAAAAAGGAAAAGAAGAAAAGGGCGTAGGGTTTCGACATCGTGAGTTTCGATCTGCTTCAGGTACCGCATCAAGTGCTCTGCATGCTCTTCATTAATTTCTACATATGTATATGTGTGGAAATAATAATATATTAGGTAGGAAAAGGATGATTTGCTTCGTAAGTTTGTAGATAAGAAACGGTGCTAATATTATTGTTATTATTATTATATTTCTTTTTTTGTTTGTTGTCAATTTATGGGGATGAAGGGAGTTGAACTGTTAGGAGTTTATATATATAATTATTTTCCATACATGCTATCTCCAGTTTCAAGTAGTAAGTTGAATTCTCACTAAAAGAGTTAGATTATTACTCTATATATGTCAAGGCCTAATTGATTTCTTGGGGAAAGAATAATGTCATTGTTGTACACTTGGTGGGTTTTGAAAATTGTGAGGATAAAGTTATGATTACATATTATAAATTTAGGAACCTGCAGGCGACATATTAATGTCTTGATTTTGTCGATTCCCACCACTGGTTTCATAACCAGTGGTTCCGAAAATTAGTAATTCTTATGTTATTATCACATTGTATTTTAATTTTGATATATTAATTAAAATAGGTAATTAAACATTAAGTATATCGTATTTTTGTGAATGTCATTAGATTTACGATAATTGAAGGAATTGGAAGAATTGACAAGTTAATGGGCATCAAGACTTGGGAACTTAATTATAAATTTGGGTAAGCTTTTGGGTCTAGGTTAAACCTATAGTGACATGAGTGTTGTTAGTTTCGGAATCTTATTGTGACTATGTACTTGAATAGATTGCATTGATTTGGAAGCTCAACGAAAAAGGGAAGGCTCAAGTCTCGGAGTGATTGTTCGGTTATTTGAGGCAAGTGGATTTCTAAACCCTTGCTAAGCGTATGGAATTCGTGTATTTCCTTGTGGTATATGGTTGGAAGTAATGGGAATTGGTGATGGGTTAACTTGTCCATGTTGAATAATTCTAATGATGGAAAAAGGTTAAAATAGGTAATTAAACATTAAGTATATCGTATTTTTGTGAATGTCATTAGATTTACGATAATTGAAGGAATTGGAAGAATTGACAAGTTAATGGGCATCAAGACTTGGGAACTTAATTATAAATTTGGGTAAGCTTTTGGGTCTAGGTTAAACCTATAGTGACATGAGTGTTGTTAGTTTCGGAATCTTATTGTGACTATGTACTTGAATAGATTGTATTGATTTGGAAGCTCAACGAAAGGGAAGACTCAAGTCTCGGAGTGATTGTTCGGTTATTTGAGGCAAGTGGATTTCTAAACTCTTGCTAAGCATATGGAATTCATGTATTTCCTTGTGGTATATGGTTGGAAGTAATGGGAATTGGTGATGGGTTCAGTGGCGGAGGCAGGAATTCTATCAAGGGGGTTCAAATAAAAAAATGTTGTTGCTTGGAATCGAACCCGTGACCCAAAGCTCACATAGGCTGAATCCTGACCCCCATAAATCACTGAGCTACTCCTTTGACATATGCTCAGGGGGTTCAATTTTTAAATATATACACGTACACAAAAAAATTGATCTTATATATATAGTGTAATTTTTTTTCCGAGGGGGGTCGGATGACTCCCCTGGACACACTATAGATCCGCCCTTGGATGGGTTGACTTGTCCATGTTGAATAATTCTAGTGATGGAAAAAAGGTAATAAAAAGGCTTGTTGTTTAATTGTTGATGTTGTGTCACGATTGTATTGTTGTGAATTGTACATTGATATTAAATTGGTCATCTTCTCATTATTTGTGTGAACATGTCATTTGCATTGGT